TCAGAGCTGACGGCGCATGGTGTGATGGCAGCTGATGGATCGAGCGAGCGGAACAGACACAGCCGGTAGGTGGAATGGCAACCAACTTCGCCATCTCAAACTGACCACATTCGCATGGACAGAATGTAAAATCCAGATTTAGGTTGGAGTATTGTGAACAAGCGCAACTTTGTTCCAGCCAAACTAGAAGTTACAAACAACTGCAAAGGAACGATGAGCATGAACTAAGGCATTCAACAAATGGCTAACGAGAATCAGATATAGGACGTGCGTTTCAGTGAAATGCTGATTGTTATCAACGTACAGTACAAAATGACCATGTGTTCATTAATAACTGATTTCTCTGGCTGTTAAGTCTTCGTTTTAATTCTCTGAAGCCTAATTCGATAATACTGAGTCCATACTACGCAGGGAACTAAATCTTTGTCTACGTAGACAGTTGAAAGCAAGTATCTTCGTAGCGTACTGCTCGGTGAGTCATTGACTAGCGTTCATGTGAATATGGCTCTATTCCAGGTTGCCTCTCTGATCCTCTTCATTCATTAGTGTGGACGGATAAATGTGTGGACGGACGGCTGAATCTGCTACACTTGTGTGGATTAAACAAAGGGTTAACATTATTCGCCTAACAGCCTGCAGTGTGTCAGCAGCTGAAACTTTCACCAAGTGGCTATGGTACCCAAAACTAAAACTCGCGGACACAGAACGATTGCATCCACAGCAGTCGAAAGATTATCCATGATTCCAAACAGGGTAGTCTGTTAATCAGGATATATCTGCACGGTAACTTTCAGCGCTGATAACTCACTCCTTTCTAACTAGATGGTTCCTCATAAACTTATGGCCTTTAGCCAATCGTCTTCTCGTAATACCCCAGTGATGTGATAGAGATTTGGCTCCAAAAGTGAAGTATTTCTGCGTTGTTCAGTCATACCTTCCATAGGACGCGATTTAAAGGCAAAGGAGGAAGTGACCTTCCAAGTGGACTGCACAACCTTGGGGTGCAACTTAACACAGTTCTTGCTAAGATATGATGATAACTCATTGTTGTCCCCTGCTTTAATCAGGCGAGTTTTTTCATAGATATTAATGAGACCAGCACTAAACTGTAGGGGAACTCTTCCAATTTGCAGCAAGTGCTTCTCCGGGACACGCACTAGAAGTCAGAGGTCCGGTGTAACTGAAAGTTTGTGGTTGAATAAGAGACAATGTGTACCCGTCTATCTTTTAGGCAAGCGGTCCTTAGCGGCGTCTACCGGGGCTCGGTCCTTCGGCCGATGCTATTCTCCATCAATGTAAACGATCACTATGGAGAGGTTGGGTTATCAGCGCTATTTATTAGTTTTTGACGACCCAAAGCTGTGGCTTGTTGTACATGTTCCTGTGGGTTATGAGATAATTCAACATGCCTTGGCTACGGTCTGAGACTGGTCTAGATTGTAACTAATGCTCATTAACCTGGTTAAGTGTTCCGTTTTTCGTATGAGAGCAACTATTCCATCTTTGAGGTACGTGCTGGGTGGGGTTGAACTCTCCCCTTATCTCTAACTAAGCAGACCTATGCGTCGTCCATTCCTTGTCTTTGCAATCGGATTACAAGTATGGATTTCAGAATTTTGTGGTTAATACGCCCTTCTTACGGAGTATTAACTGCCGATATCTTTGTGAAGCTGTTCTCCACTTTCGTTCGGCCCCATCTGGAATATTTTGCGTCCAGGCTTGCCCGCCCTGTCTTGTTGGGGACAAAATGGAGCTGGAGTTGGTTTTGAGGGTAGGTACTAATTTTGTCGAGGGGTTACGGGGGCAATCGTACCAAGAGCGTCTACTTAGCTTGGGTATGTATTCAATGCATTACCGACGGCTTCGAGAAGATCTGATCCTCCCCTAACGCAGTTTGACTGAGAAGGTTGAGCTGACTATTTAGCCCGGTTAGGTTGCCTTGCCTTCGCGGTCCTCCCATGAAGCTACACAAGACCCGTTCCGACCGGGCGGAAACGGTTATTGCTTGAAGTTATAGAGCGCTGGAACTCGCTTCCAGAAGATGCAGTCAGTCAAGCTATGCTTAAGGGTTTTGAGCGCCATTTAAACGTTCTTGGGTGGCAACACGAAGCCTTCCCCTTCTCCTGACCAAATCCATCTTCCAACTTTGGCTTTCTATCCTGTACTTGTCCTCACCCTTTGGTATTATCCTTCATTCAAACGACTTTCATTTCTCTTTATCTTCCCCGTTCTTTCTACATCTTTCTTACTTCACGTGACGGGCACAGTGGGACTACTATTGTAGTAAAGGTGGACAGTAATTGGTTGGCCGGGGTGAGGTTCCTATGTTTGGTTGTACATCTATCAATGCCTCGGATCGCCTAATCATTTCCTGACTCAACGATCCGCTCAAGAAGGAATACTCAAGGGATTTTCTAGCGGGCCAGTCCCATCTGTATCTGTAGCAGAAACAACTTGTTACAAAACAACATATTTTGCTAAACTACACACTTCGGAACCAGTAACTATTGTGCAAAACATTTTGGCAGGTACTATTTACTTGATCCTACTATGTTACCAGTGGGAAGTCCCATTAATGCTACGATGTGGTCAGCTTGACTACAAGTTGAATAGATTGCTATATGGCCAGAGTAACGTCATTTTATTAAAATACTTTGGTTTCACTCCGCTGTAAGTGAAATGTTACGGCTTGAAATGGTTACATACTCACGCAGCATGCTTTTCGCACACAAACTTATTGGACTCCAAAAAGGCTATGGTTTGGTTTTCTGAGCATGTGAGCTGGGACAAACATAACCTATCTTGCGTCATCCTGGATAAGATAGCGTGTTGCTTACGGCTGACGTGGGGGCCTCTGGTACAATACCGCAACTGCCAGTGACCTGTTTTACAAGTTGTGACAAATTTACCGCGTTTGTTACGAATAGGTGCCGAATTGTCTTTGGCCATTTGTCGAGCCTTCGTGGTGGAGTCATCTATACGTAGGCAATAGATAAGAAAAAAGAAACTTTCCTGACTCATCGCTGATACATAGGGTGGCTTGAAGGTGTACCTTTCAACCAAATGCATGCAGCGCCTTCTGTGGAGCCCTTTGTGATACGCAAAAGGGGTAGCTTGACTATGAATGCTCGGATTTTGACCACAGTTGTTCGGCACACAAAGCCAGCGTCAATCTTGCAACTATGTTTCATATTTTCTATTTGTTCGCTAGTTCATGTTGCAATCTCTGTTATCATGTCATCATCGAGAGCAGTAGCAGTAGCAGACAAAACCATGTATTCCAGCGGATATCATCAAGTAAGAACTGATGCTTTCAAGGTTGTGTCTGCTCGATACCTATTCCCTTTCGGACCTCCTTTTTGTCTGGCAATACTTCGCATCGATTGTGCCTACATATGCCCGCCTTTTTCGCGATGCTAACGACTGCTATTACCTTCCAGTTCATCTTCTGACTGTGCTTCATGGACACTACAATGGTGGCGTCTGATTCTTCATTACTGATATCAATGTCAATTTCATCCGAGCCAAACCGTATTTGACGCCGTCCTTATTTTCACTATCGGTGTCACTTTGGTCACTTAAAGACTGCAGAACATCATCAGAAGAATGTCCCCGTCGGCCCGCTATTTTGTTATGCTTCACCTGTCAGGGAACCTTAAAGGGAATAAAATATATTTCCGTCGCATTGATTGTATCATGGGATCAATTTAACCCAAACGAAAATATGCGTAAACATGAAATACTTGTCAACTGTCGAACAGGTGTCACGTACTTAGGAACGCGGATCACCGCTAATGATGATTTTTAAAAAGCTCCAAAGGGAGCTGAGGTCACATAGACTCCATAGTACCAGTGAAGGAAGATGCATTGCATTATCGATCGTAAACACAGTTGCTCATACCTTCCGTTTCTCACTGGCACCCAATTTTTTATACTTTCCACCACCGTAAAGTGGGTTGTTCATTAAATAGTTACCTACCTCAACTGTGCATGCGATTGCGTCCATCGGGTCACAAGCATAAATTAACACTATGGTCAAGCTCACATAACAGCTTTGCAAAGTGCGCCGATTCGTACACGCCAGACGCCCATTTGGTGGTACTTCACTCTATGACTGGTATTAAGGCATTGTGCTTGGGCCTTAAGCTTTCAAGTCCCACCTAGCTCCGTCTCATCACTTGAGCTTGTGTTTAAACGTAGTTTTCGGTTACGTTTTCTCACCCTGCAGTATGCTTACGCCAACATAGTTCATGGAACCAAGAAGGAGGAGGCGAGGCAACGTCGTTAGCCACAGCTTTGCAAACCTGATCGTCCATCTGTCTTCTTCACCGTAACATTCACAACATCCGCATTTCTGCTCGAGTTTCATATTCTATTTCATATAAACTTTATTCTTGCTCACCCGTACTCAATAGCTTAAATGAAAGAGTGGTGAACAGTGTTAGGCCCGTTTGCCACTTTCTCAAAACACGCAAGTTTGTGGAACTGAGGTTTTCATCTAACCTGCATGATAAAGCTTAACCACACGCCACATGATATACACCACTGATATACACGCCATGTCGAAACAGCATTTTGACCTCTGTGCATTACCACACCGGCGTCGAAGCAGTGACAACCCTAGACAAATATTAACGCACCTAGCTCTTATTTACCTTGATATACACGTCACATCAAGGCGCAGCAAAACAACATCACTAGAACGACCGGACAATGGAAGTGTGTGCTTGCGTCCACGGGCTCAAAGCCACGGCGTGGTCATCGCCGTACTCGCAATGCAATATGAAGTGGACGCCAGCTATCATAAAAGCGCACGCGATAAGTCCCTAATTTATGTATCGTTATTGTCTGTACATTAGTGACATTTATATTAGTGCCTAGCCTGCCGATATTGTAACCAGTCACGATGTAAATGGCACAACCTACGAATAGGTTACCTCTTCTGACCGCAGGCTTTCCATGTAAAAATTTCCCACTGATTCCCATCATCACCCCCACAGGTCGTAGCAATATTTTGGTGTGGCTTCCCTGGAGCTCACATCGGTGAAGCCTTGGCGCGCATAATGCTGGGTAATCCCGGCGATCCGTATGGAGTACAAGCTCCTTTGATGCCCAACGCCGACGAAGACAAGGAACTGGGGAGCTGGGGCTTGTCTACCCCGGTGGCGAAATTCTGGTGGATCCCCGCTGCCCGGCTACCGTTCACGTGGTATCGGTCAATCGATCACTTGCCAGACATGACATATTACGAAATGACCAATCAAACTTATAGGTACTTACCGCATGAATGTTCCAGAGCCTCCGATGACTGCAAATTGCCAATTCTTTTTCCATTTGGCTATGGGCTTACGTATAACGCGGACAAGTGCGGCGCAAGTGAATTTATATACTCTCAACTTATGTTGCCCGCAAATCCTATTCTAATTGGACAACCTTTCGTAATCTACGCGACAGTGACAAATGCAGGAGCGTTGGCCTCGGACGAAGTTGTACAGGTAACAAAATTTTTAACGATTGCTATTAACGTATTCCTTCGTCTTCAGCTGAAAATCAAAACAGTACCGTGATTATTCGTTACAATTTCTTAGGATAATGTTCCAAAAGAAACAGTTGTCTACTTTCAACATAACTAGGCTCAGTTATATACCAGTCATGCTAATAGGATGACAGCGGATAGCGGTTTTATTCTTTCGGGAACGAGGAAAGAGCAGATTCCGCATGTTTCAGGAGAGACTCGAGGTAATGACCGTGCCCTTAGGAGTCCTTTGTTAATGCTGCAGGACCACAAATGTAGCGAGAACGACGCGGCAACGAAGCACAGTCTTTATTGGCGCGATCACCAGCTATGTCACTACTCACGCAGACGTACATTTATGAGTCACTTTTCCTTCCCACCTCGCACCATCTCTCCTGGTTTCCGCTCGCGACACGTCCATACACTGGAGGATACGGGATGAAGTATTCCTTGCCCATTTTACCCCCGTATCTCAACTTCCACGCATCCCATTCTAACCGGTCCGGAGTCGTTCGATAGCTCGTGATTTACTTGAACGTGGATGCATCACTTTGCTTGGGGTTGGTCCGGGTGGCTGCAAAAACAGCGGTTATGTGTTATATATTGCGTCCTCGACGAATACCCTCCCCGTTCAGCCTGGCTTAGGCTCACTACCAGACGCCGCTCGTGACCCGTTTACGTCGCATTCCGTCAGGCCAATGTTGCTCCCTCTGCTCCCTCTCATTGCGCCTGTTCATCTTTCCGTCCATCCCCCGTTTTAGTGGTCTTCCTGTCCTCCGGAAAATCACTGCCTTCCGCCTCCCTACACAATTGCTGATATGATTAGGACAGCGTTACTTACTCCCTCCTGATTTGAACGTTTCTGCAGTTCAGAAAACATTACAAAACCGCTCTTCGAGCGACAATTTACCAAGGAGGCGCGCAGATCATGGCATTCCGTAGACCCCAGTAAAACATTTAAATAGTGCAAGTAAATCAGTGATAACTGTAAGTCCTTCGCTGACGACTCCCGTCTATGTGCTCCTAGATCACAGCTGTGATTGCTAAGACCATCCAACCCTTTAACCCGGTTATTCTAGACGATCGTTTTGTAAGTGGCCGTGTAATTGCAAACCTGTTCATGCCTTGTCGAAAAATAGACAAAATAATTAAACTTCCTTAGCTGTTCCGAATAGCTATAGCCACAAGTGTTCACTTTTTACCAGCTCTGGCAAGTCGAAGCCTGCACCGCATTGTAGTTTTGTAATAATATGGATTAGGTCTTTACATGCGCACTGTAGTCCAGAGAATTTGTAAAGACCCAATGCCTATGTCGGCGATTTGATTTGCCACATGAGCACATGCCTGATGATAGTAACGATTGACGAATATGCGACCAGTGATCTTCGAAGGTATTAAGTGGACGCTTAATTAGTCAAGATGCCAGCGTAGTTTGGTACGCATTCAGAATACCTGGCTTAGCCAACTGGCTGGTGTCAATGCGCTCAGAGCGACGTTGCGGACGTCCGCCGGAGCGCACCCGCAGATCAGCACACACAAGAGCGGGATCGGAGTCCATGCTGGTGCTCCAAATCGAGCGACAGTTATGGACACAGCCTCTCCAGCGGTAACTAATCGCGATGTGATTAAGCTGCGTCCATGGCTGGCCTGAAGCTGGTGGGCGCCAAGTCAATCATCTGTGGGTGCTATGTCGAAAGTTAGTGCTCACGAGAAAGAGACGAGAACCTTCACACAAGTGTAGCAACAGCTCACCGTTATCATTACGGGAGCCTACACCATGTTGGCCGCCCAGATAAAGCTTATCAGAGGTCATTTTACCTCTTTGCGCGTTTAGATCACCAACAAGCACCACAGTATGCGTGCTTCTTCTGTAATGAAAAGACCGTTAAGTTGGTGGTAGAAATCATCTTTCACCGAATCAGGGTTACAGTTTGTAGGCGCGTAGGTTGCAATGAGAAACAGGCACCGTTTGTTTCCGTGCGACGTCGAAACCTGGAACGACCAAACCAACCTAACGGCGCACATCCGGCTGTTGACAGGATCCCGTCGATCAGGGCAGCTCCAACCCGGGGACTCAAAACAATGCCGACGCCAGTTTGACCTACGTTTGAAGACGCGTCATCCCCAGACAGGCGCAATAAGAATGTGACGCCGGTGTCGCATGTGGGGGATCGTAGAGCAAGCACGGAGCTCGAATCTTGCAGACGGGTTTCCGATAAACGGCAAATATCGATCGGGATGGTCTCGAGTGTTTGGGCGAGTGCCGCTTGTCGGCCAGTCTGTAGCAAGGCGCACACGTTGAGGCATACCAGTCTTAGCGGGGATCGAGGACTCCAAAGGGAAACGGATGAACTGACGTTGTCCGCTTGGTTGAACATGGACTTGTCGACTGGATTGGAGCGACGCCCTGCGACTGTGTGTGATTTGAAACTAGAAGACAAGCGACTGTTGAAGCAGGCTGGGGGAGGGCGAAGAATTGGTGGATTGAAAACAGGGGGAGGAAAGTGAAGTTAGAACCGGAAGCTAATGATGAAAATGGTCAACAGGGGGAAAAAGGCGGGAAGGCCTGAGCAGTAGCATCCAAACCCCTATCCACCTTGCTCGATGCAGCAGATAAGTCGCCCTTTATTATCCTCTGCGACGGCCAGAGCATCAAGAGATGATTCGAAGGAAAGGTCATGGTGCATTGCGTGGGCAGCATACCGTCAGTTTGCCCAGGTCTAGACAGGAGAACGTTTAGAGCGCTCAAGCAAAGCCTTTTGTTCAAAAACCGTACCGCAAGGCCACTGGACTGCCATTGGACTTCAAAGAGTCCGTTTTAGGGAGTAAGGAGCAACCCTCACCTAAACCCCTGATATTGGAGGGCCAGGCTACTGAGTTTGTCTGGTTTCTAACCATTAAGCAATCTGGTAGGAGTGGCTCTGAAGGTGCACAAATCACCACCCAGCAAAGCTCAATGGATAACTGAGGCTCACAAACCGTCGCACCACGTTAAGGTTCAGTCTCATCGCAATGGGTATTTAATAGGTAGTCTAAAAAGCTCATCCAAATCCACACCACGCATTACGGAAAGAACAAATCGGTATTAACGATAGAGAAAATGATGTTTGTTTCTGCTTGACATTTAACTGGGACCATGTGGCAAAAGATATCGGACACCAAATCAGCCCCCACCCTAGAGCGCAGCTGCACCGCTGGCCAAACTTGGGCACACAGCGTAAAGTTTCGTAGTTCGTAACCATTAGAGCAGATCATCAACCTGCTCGGTCGCTCACTTTGTTTACCACTTCAGCTACAGCTGTGATTAGATTTATGTTGACAGGATAGACCTTCGGTTGTCTCATAGGTTGGCTGAACTTTTGCTTAATTGGTTGGGGTAAGCGACGACATAGCAAAACGTGCCGGATCAAAGAATGAGACATAGCCCAACCTCAGCTATCACCAAGCATTTCAGGACAACCCATCATCATGGGAACCCGTGCAATGAACAACCATGAACAATAATTTGTAACCAGCGAAAAAGCATCGCCTGATAAGTCTGATAGAATGACCGGAGTATGCACTATAAAACCATTGTTTAAGTCGACAGGAAAAGTGAAACTTTAGTTTGATGTGATTCACCGAGTTATTTAATGAACACATATGTGGTCTGCTAATTGCTATGTAACGGAGCTAGCTTGTGAGTACACCGTTTGCGTTAGTTCCTCTTTCGATGGATACAGGCTATGTCGCGTAATATTAATGGCATAGAGTATAGTCCGATCGTTTTAAAAGAACGTTAATGCAGGTGGAGAAAATAACATACCGAAAAAGAGCGTACCACGTTCTGAATACCCGAGGGGAGCAATGGTTTTGTAGGCAACCAACTCGACTGTGGTGTGTGGTCAGTTTGAGCTGGTGGTCTCTCAGGTTGGTATTTTGTCTCAGCTGCAACAGATTGTGACAGGTGTGATTAGGGTTAGTCAGTATTTGTTACACCATAATAAAGTCTGCTCGCAGGCACCAGTATTCGCCGGTGTGCAAGTCTGGGGCCTGCAGTTTTCATTGATAGGAGAGGTGAAACAGCCCTCTAGCGATTTTCATCGCCCTACGTTGTGGAGCTTCGAGCGCAGCAGCATCGTGTTTGCGCCAAGGTCGCCAGGCCTGGATCGCGTATTCCACGTAGGGCCTCACGTAAGCGTTCAGCATTTGTGGAAAGATTGATGGCTCAAAATCCTCGAACGCCCTTCATAACAGGCCAAGATGCTGGGTGGTTCTTCTCGACGCTTATTCGGCCTGTTTCGAGCAGCAAAGGTCGTTCTGCACGATTACCCCGACGTCGCTTTCCTGCGTAGCATGTTGCAGCAGCTGCTATCCCAGTCGATATTCAGGAGTACACTAGTGGCGTGGACTTAGAAGTTTGCATTTCGTTGGGTCAAACTGAAGCCGGTTTTTGGATGACCACGGATAGGCGTTGTTGAAATCCCTATGTAGTGTGGCGTGGTCGTCCACTGCCTGGATGTTATGCCATATCTTGATGATGAGAAATGGTCCCAGTATCGATCCTTGGGGAACACCACACTGGATTACAATCAAGTCGAAGCTGGATCCGCGGACTCTTACATTCAACTAAGGTCGAATGAGGAACTTGCTTACTCAAAGGAACACAGGATCATAGCCTCGAATTTTGTGAAGAAAAGTTCGAGGTCCAGGCGTTTGAATGACACGAAGAAGTCCAATTATAGCATGTCGACTCCTTGCCTGGCATCGATTGACTTCTTCCAGCTTGTCCGGGCTAGTAATAAGTTCGTGGTGTAGGACAGACTGGCGGAATCCATGTTGCTTTGGCACTTTGATGTTGTTGCTCTCAGGGTATCTTATGAGCGCTTCTACGATTATTGCTCCTATAACTTTGCGTAACACTGGGCGGAGGGTGCTCAGACGGTAGTTGGAAGGTTCCGCACGATTTGCACTCTTGAATTAGGAGTAATTATTTCCGTTTGCATACGGTTAGAACCTGCATTTTTTCAAAACTTCGTTAGTAGAACCAGGCCAACGGTTCGGCAAGCTTCATGGCTGTTACTTTTAATGCCTTCGGCGTGATATTGTCCACACCAGGAGAGTTGTGCGCACGCAAGGACACTAGCCGTTTCATTGCATTTGCAGCGATGAAGCATACGTGGCTTAGTCCTGTAGGCCGAGTGCGCTGTCACGTACAAGTGAGGTGACGATTCTCTTTGGAATATGCGGGTAAACCGTTGCCTAAACGCGTCCGCCGCATCTTGTGCAGTGAGTGACAAACTATGTACTAAATAAAGAACCGGAATTCCGCGCTGCACCCGGCGGAGCTTGTTAACGAACATGTAGAGAACCCTAGCATTAGTGTTGAATTTTATCGTTAAGTCCTGTTGGTGTTTAAGTTTGTCGTCGCGGACTAATTTGACACAGCGATTTCTCAGTTATTTAGGCCTCCCAAACTTTCGCATCCGGACAGGCTTTATAAGCGCGCCAAGCAGAATCGGAGCCATACATCATGGTGTCCCGCTCCTCAGGAAGGATTTCATTTGTTTCAGGCGAAATACTTTGATTCCAGCCTCATTTGCCACTATTCCGTTGAAGTGCATGACAAATTCCTTTCGGGAGACGTCACGAGGCTACTCAGGTAGGAAGTACCAGTTAGTTTCGCAAACAAGGTTGGAGAGTGTACCGTAATGGGTGACAACATGAACTTCCTCGCTGTTTTCACATATGTATTCGGCGTAGTAGACGTAGCAGAAGCGAAGCGTTGCGTAATCGCTACGGCCGTGCCGTGCGGGTATATTTACGGCATCAATCATTAACTCTTCATTGGTGGATCGTTGGCTGTCCTGAATCTAGTGGTAGCGGTGACTTGGTTGCATAGCGGTATAGCATCGATTACTCCTTGCAAGTCCGCTTCGTATTGTTAGCAGATACAAGCTGGGAATTTGGTTGCATGCACGCTGAAGTCCCCACCAAAAAGGAGCTGACTGTATGACCGTGTCAGGATTCACTTCATGACAAACGCCATGCGGTGATCCATTTTCAGTGTGGAACTTGGTGGACGGCATAATATTAGAAGTAAGCACATATCACCACGTTTAAGATGCAGGCGGCACCAGAAATAATGGGTAAGTTGTGTATCTGAATCGTCGACGATGTCGAGTTGCATGTCAGATCAGTAATGTAAGAACACTCCGCCTCCTCTGCTGGGTCCATCTTTCCGTGTGAGAGTCATCCCAAGCACGGCTGTCTCGGCACCAGAGATTTCAATATCCAACCGTGTTTTAGTTATGATGACGACCTCCCAAATAGTGGTAGCGTAACGAGTACAAAGGTCGGTTAACTTACTAAGAAGACGTTGAGCATTTGTATACAAAGTGGTGAAGGCCACGGACGTTAGCAGTGTATTTGTAGATTCGACTTCTGGATGTGGAGTTACTCCGACTCTAGTGGGAACGGCTGTCGGCCGTTTATTTTACTGAACCAAAATCGCTGGCCCTAGGGCAATTTCGGGTGGGTGTCTAGAGTTTTCGGTGTCAGTAAGCGGCTGTAAACCTAGATATACTTCAACTGACGCAAGGTTCTGACTGCATGCTGGTTCTGAGCGGCTTGCTGACGGGTGCATCCACAAGAACTGCATGTTCAACGTTAGCTCGTCCATTCGTTGCCTAGTGTCTATTGACTTTATATTTATTTCGCATGGCAGCTTCTTGCGCATTTTAACCATGTTTCCGTCACCATTTTCACCAAGGGTATAGTTTGTAGTGTTACTTTATCACTCACGGGCCGCTTCCACTGTAGTTGATGGCGGCAATATTGAGATCGCGTTGGCGATCACATTTCCGAGTTTGAGTACTTCGCAGAAGAAGTGTCAATCATCCCATTCATGCGCTTTGGCCTCTAGACCGCATTCAATGTGGTATTACGCAACAACAACCCGATAAGTTGGCACTCAGTGTGGTGTTACTCATTAGGGTATGTGACACTGGGTTTTGTGCAAATAAACCTGAGTCAATTAATTATGTTGAAGTGGTCTTGAGTATGAAGTGTTAGTCGGTGTTGCCAATTGTTCCATATGTTATTGCATGTATAGCTTCTGATTGTGTGGTGTTCCCAGCTAATGAGAACAATTAAAATGCAGCCATACCGTTGCATATGTCTTCTGGCAGCTCCGTGCCAACCAATCTGGTGTAAATGTTTCCTTGTTATTTGGACGATAAAAGGTGTTTGTACTTGTAGATATCTCATAAACCCTCTAGATCGGGTACCCTAACTCCATGAACTTCCTGTTCCTACTGCTCACGAAGGAATTCACTTGTTTTGGGTTAAAGGGTTTGAGGTCCAAGGTAGTTGCATCTATTCGTTGAAGTTGTTGACTAGTTTGCTCTATGCAAATTCTGGAGGTTATGCAGAATTTTCACATGCATATCCATAAATGCTACATGAATGGCACTCAAGCACAGACATTATATATATATATATATATATATATATATATATATATTCCCTTAAAAATGCAAGACAATTGTTCGACGACTCTGCCGGCACAATAACTGCACAATCTTTGACTTAGACACTATTTTCATCATTTA